AAAATCATTTCAGTTAATTTTTTTTCCTCATTAATGTACACACAGCACCCCATATTGACAGAAAAACACAGAATTGTTGACATTTTTGCAGATTTATTAAAAAAGAAAAACTGAAATATCACATGGTCCTAAGTATTCAGACCCTTTGCTGTGACACTCATATATTTAACTCAGGTGCTGTCCATTTCTTCTGATCATCCTTGAGATGGTTCTGCACCTTCATTTGAGTCCAGCTGTGTTTTATTATACTGATTGGACTTGATTAGGAAAGCCACACATCTGTCTATATAAGACCTTACAGCTCACAGTGCATGTCAGAGCAAATTAGAATCATGAGGTCAAAGGAACTGCCTGAAGAGCTCAGAGACAGAATTGTGGCAATGCACAGATCTGGCCAAGGTTACAAAAACATTTCTGCTGCACTTAAGGTTCCTAAGAGCACAGTGGCCTCCATAATCCTTAAATGGAAGACGTTTGGGACGATCAGAACCCTTCCTAGAGCTGGCCGTCCTGCCAAACTGAGCTATCGGGGGAGAAGAGCCTTGGTGAGAGAGGTATGTCTCTAAAAATGGCTGTCCACCAACGTTTACCATCCAACCTGACAGAACTGGAGAGGATCTGCAAGGAGGAATGGCAGAGGATCCCCTGAAAAACTTGTTGCATCTTTCCCAAAAAGACTCATGGCTGTATTAGATCAAAAGGGTGCTTCTACTAAATACTGAGCAAAGGGTCTGAATACTTAGGACCATGTGATATTTCAGTTTTTCTTTTTTAATAAATCTGCAAAAATGTCAACAATTCTGTGTTTTTCTGTCAATATGGGGTGCTGTGTGTACATTAATGAGGAAAAAAATTAACTTAAATGATTTTAGCAAATGGCTGCAATATAACAAAGAGTGAAAAATTTAAGGGGGTCTGAATACTTTCCGTACCCACTGTATAACCAGCTCTTGGGCACTTTGGAGGGAATCTGTTTCCTTGGCACATTTGGTCACAGGGGTGTGAATAGGTAATGTAGGGTGAAGCACAGCTGGAGCGGGTGGTGACGGGGGGCATTGAATTTGTAATTGAGAGCTAAATCTCTCTGTTGTCAGTTTGGTCGAGATTAATCTGTTGAAAACCACCTGCTAGTTTGTTGGCAGTGCTTGGTCTTCCTCCCACTCCACAAATCCTTTGCGTGGTTCCAACGAAACACACTTTTCCCTGTGGCTTGTCTCTCTGTAGCATTCTCAGAGTGGCAGAATGCTCTGGTAAAGATATTTTGTTGTGTATTTTCAGGAAAGGTCCCTATAGTGTGCATGTAAGCAGCGTAAAAACTAGTATTTTTCTTGAGGTGGTTTCATCGCCATCATTATCTGACTGCTCTAACTTCAATACAGCCTTTCACTAAAAGACTCTGAGCCATGCCTTTTATTTCACTTAGTTCAGCTTCATATAATGGTTGTTAAAGATGTTTGCATATGTATGGGTATTTTTCCATCTCTTGTTAAAGGCACAATATGTAATTTTCGCCACTAGAGAGTGCGTATTCAAAATAAACAAATAGACAAAGGCGTAGTTTGATGACACCGTGTGGAATCATGGGAGTTGTCGTCTTCATCCCCACAGCCGAAGCAATCCGATGGGACTCGGGCAGAAATCATGTTCATGGATGAGCTAATGATTTATTAACGTAGTAGAATGAAGCAGGGTGAGGCTGAAAGCTGTCGAAGCGAAACGAGGCCGCTGAAAGAGCACGACACGCGGCTCGAAAGCAGCGGAGCTTTTATTATGCCACAGTCAACTGCTTCCGCTCCTTCCGGTCGTGCGTATGTGGGGAAAACAAAGCAGCGCTGTTTTTTCATACTAGATACATTTTGAAAGTTCTGTTATGATGCTACTCTGTGCGGTCGTCACCTGTCAAATAAAACGCACAGCATATTAAAGCGTCGGTAACCCTTTACAATAAGGTTCATTAGTTAAACATTAGTTAATATATTAACTAACATGAACTAACCATGAGCAATACATTTGTTACTGTATTTACTAATCTACGCTCACGTTAGTTAATAAAAATACAGATGTTCATGTTAGTTCACAGTGCATTAACTAATGTTAACAAGATTTTAATAATGTATTAGTAAATGTTGAAATTAACATTAACAAAGATTAATAAACGCTGTATAAGTGCAGTTCATTATTAGTTCATGTTAACTAATGTAGTTAACTAATGAACCTTATTGTAAAGTGTTACCAAAGCGTCTTTGGTGTTTCCATGTTTTCTACAAAACAAAACCGGAAATCGAGGGTGTATGACGTCATTGGCAGGCGACACAATGACACTATGGAAACGGTCCGTGTCACTAGTTAAAATTGCTTATTTCTCTGGATTTAAACATTCTTCGAAACATTTGGGATAATGTGAGTGCACAAGTCAGCAAAATATATAACACTGTTCTAGTGGTTTTTGGATATTTAAATAATTTTAAATAGGGAAGTGTGCATGGCCATACATGATTTTGTATTGTGTGTGGTGAAAATCACTGAAGTGAATCAAAACTTACCATTGACCAAGTATTTTGCTACTTATATTTATTAAATGTATGCATTTTATGTCTATACATAAAAATATATATTTTGAATCATTCATTGAAACTGATTCATCTTATTGCTGTTCCATCAATCAAAGGACTATCGAAACAGACAGGATGTGAAGTGGTGGGAAAGGATTAAGACAGTGGCAAAGGCATTTATTGAGTCACGGTTTACACCTGTTGCATCCTGTCTTTGGAAACAAAGTATTAATTTTAGGATAAAGTTGTAGACATGTAGACTGTATGCCACAATACAGGTTGCATTGTGATTGTGATTTTCCTTTGTTCTACTGTGAATGTTTTGTTGATGATATGAGCAGTTTACAGTAGCTCCAACAGCAAAGGTCATGGGTTCAATTCCCATGCAATGAAAGTCACTTGGGATAAAAGAGTCAGCCAAATGCATACATTTAAATATTATCATAATCTTGTATATCATTGGTTTTGTTTTATGACTAATGGAGTTCTCCTATCTTGTTTCCTGCAGAAAGTTCTACTACATCACTCTACTGAGAGACCCCGTTTCCCGCTACCTTAGCGAATGGAGGCACGTCCAGCGGGGGGCAACGTGGAAGACGTCCCTGCACATGTGCGACGGACGGACACCAACGCCCGAAGAGTTGCCGCCCTGCTACGAGGGCTCAGACTGGTCGGGGTGCACTTTGCAGCAGTTCATGGACTGCCCCTACAACCTCGCCAATAACCGCCAAGTACGCATGCTGGCCGACCTCAGCCTCGTTGGATGCTACAACCTCTCCACAGTTCCTGAGAAGAGGCGCTCACAGCTGCTGCTCGAATCAGCCAAGAAAAACCTACGAGACATGGCTTTCTTCGGCCTGACAGAGTTCCAGCGGAAGACACAGTACTTGTTCGAGCGCACCTTCCACCTCAAGTTCATCCGGCCCTTCATGCAGTACAACAGCACGCGGGCGGCCGGCGTGGACCTGGATAACAACACGATACAGCGCATCGAGGAGCTCAACGACCTGGACATGAAGCTGTACGACTATGCCAAAGACCTGTTTCAGCAACGCTACCAGTACAAGCACATGCTGGACCGCCGGGAGCAGAGACTACTGAGAGGACAAGCGTCTTTCCACAGCCCGTTCCGAGAGGATGGAGCCGGAGGAGAGGGTACGGCACGCCTGCCAACCGAGGACTACATGAATCACATCATCAATGGATGGTAACCACCCACCCCTCTCCAGAGAGACCAAAAAAGAGACAGTTACAAGAGAGGAGAGGGGGAATATCCATTCCCAGATGGGAGAGTTCAACGTCCCATACTTTAAACGGGAATATGGGACCAGGAATGTTCAAGAAATGAGTCTGTGAGCGTTTCGCTTAGTGCCGCATCTCATAGGCCTTTTTTAAACAAAAGTTATGGCATAACATTAATATTAAATTATTATCGATTTTTGTTTGTGCCACAAAGTTTTTCCTCGACCTCCGTGCTGCAGTGTTTCTCAAAAAGAGTGACTGAAACGAACAAACAGGTTTTAATATCTGATTCACATGAATATCTGAGAATCTATGAACTCTTTAGGAAAATATAAAGATTGTTTTTATATACATATATATAAATATGTATATATCGTTGATTGCCTTTTTTAAACCTGGTGTGAAGTGGATGGAGCCAGTCACAAGTGGTTGAAAATTACTAACAGGTGTTGTGAGTATGATTTTATAGATGTATCTTAATATATATAAGACAAAAGAGTCCCAATTTCCAGGAGTGTTTTTATCGTTTTTTTCCCCTTTGAGTGTCGATTCCCAAACAGATTCCCATAATCCCTTGAGATTGTATTGGAAAGCCATTCCTGACAGACGTATCCAACTGTAGTACTGATACCCAAAAAACGATTACGCCAACATGTTTTGTTTGCTTTTTAACCATGTTACAGTATGCACTGTATGTGTTTGTTTTTGCACATTTGCTGTGATCCTTTTACCCATAATGCAGTGCAGTATGCCCACATTTTGCATTGTAAATCACGTACTTTGAATGAACAAAACCCTTCTCTCCATTTACCAATCAGGATTCACGTCAACATTCGCCCTTGTTAATTAAGTTTGCACGCATTGAAAACGTGTTAATTGAACTTGCACTGAGCATGTTGGGGCTTGACATCCCTCACAGATAGATCTCGTTTGGCTCTGCGTCTACGGAGACTCCTTAACTCGCATCTTCACACTTCCCTCCAGCTTAAACTCAGAATAAACAGACTGCTATTGAAGCCATGTTTAGAGCCATTTTAAAAATGCCTATGGGAAAAGAGTGAAGAATTGATCATATGTTCCGTCTGTCTCTCTGTCAGAATATGGAGATCAATGCTGATTAAAATCAAGAGATTGGTGAGGAAAGTGTGACTGTTGCTTTGTGTGTGTGTGTGTGTGTGTGTGTGTGTACGTTAATGTGTACAAGTGTATATTGAATATATTTGAGGTGTCTTGAGTTTGCTTCCCAACAATGTTCATTACTGTGAGTATTTCTGTTATTCATGACACCTAGATCTTTAAAATTACCAATAAAAAGTTATTTCCCATTTTTAAGACATGGTTAATTCGTTTTACTTTAATGTGTTATTATGTGGTGTTGTGTTAAATGTTTTTCAGTGTCACATGTTCCTTCAGAAATAATTCTAATATGCTCATTTGCTGCTTAAGAAACCTCTCTAAATAAATAATTCTAATAATAACAATGTTGCAGTTTTTGTGGAAACCATGAATCCTTTTTTCAGGATTTTTTGATGAATAGAAAGTTCAAAAGACCGTTTTGTTTTTTAATTGAAATCTTTTGTCATTTCTGTTCAAGTTAATGCATCCTTGCAGAGTAACATTAATTGTATTTTTTTTAAATCTTACTGACACCAAGCATTTGGATGGTAGAGTAACATACTGGTAGTGTATATATATTTTATAGTTTTATCGCATCTGTTTTTTAATTGAAATCTTTTGTCATTTCTGTTCAAGTTAATGCATCCTTGCAGAGTAACATTAATTGTATTTTTTTTTAATCTTACTGACACCAAGCATTTGGATGGTAGAGTAACATACTGGTAGTGTATATATATTTTATAGTTTTATCGCATTGTAGCATACCTTGATGATGTGGCTAACACTGTGCTTTGATATTTACAGCAAAAACATTTGAATTCCGAATGGTATAACATTATTTAATTACATTCACCTGAACACTCTGAAATTTAGCCCTTAAAACACTTTAATCTCAGGAAACCCAACAGCTTTGTGTGAAAGTGTTGGAACAATCACAGGTTTCCTCCCTGTCTTACAAAACAGTGTTTCTGTTGTTTGAGTTAATCAGCAGCTCTCTCCCGAGTGTTAATTATCTTTTAGAGGGTGTGTGTGTGTGTGTGCGCTCAGTGTCCTGGGAACAGGCTCGATGTTATGACACATTTCCTGTGGAGGACAATTTTGTCATTACTTTTTGCCTGACTCAACAGTTTTCAGTTACAAACCATGAGTGAATCTCAAACAAGAGTCATTTAAAATATATTCATTAATTGTCATATTTCAGTACAGCAGTCTTACCAGGTCAATAAGATTTGTTGTGACTGATTCTGTACAATTTATATATAACAATTGTATCTTTAAAAAAAAAAGTATTTTTCTCAGGTGGCCAAACCTGTGGGTCTTTCTTCCCCTCCATGTCGCAGTTTGTGTTCCCCTGAGAGTGGAGCTGAAATCATCTGCTGTTCCTCTGAGACGCTCATGACACTGCTCTGCTGTAACCACAGAGATCCAGCCCAGCAGAAGCACAGGGACGGCCACTTACCTCACTCGTTGTTTTTATTGTTCTTTGTGAGACCGGTGGGATTGGCTTTTGTGTTGTGTTCGAAACTAAAGACCAACATGGACTTCAGAGGTTTACAAGGGACAATGTTGCACCACAGCCTAAAGTTGCATCACTCTTGCATATGTCCAATAAAAGTGCGGTCTGTTTTGAAAGCAAAATATGAAGACAATATAGCTACTCATAAAATAATCAAGCATTTAGTATAGTAATATAAATGGTCACGTTGAAGAAGCTAGTCCACTCAGGCAGATGTTAACATGGATGTGACATCTGTTTGTCTTTAAAAATCATGAACAAATCTATGCTACATATGTATGAATTTTTTTTTTAAACATCCAGACTACTTTAAATTATTAGAGGTTTGTTACTGAATTGGGTCACCACTTAAGGGCCAACCTTAAATTCTTTAATATTGACAACAACAACAACAAAAAAACTACAGTATGATACCATTAAACACAAACATCTTAATTACAACAGATCTCAGGATATTAAAATAAATAAATAGATAATTGCTGGAGCTACTTCATGTCCCAAAACCATTCTTCAACTATCTGGACAAGCAAATGCAATAAATAAATAAAAAACTGAAGCTACAGCACCAAAGTCATTAGGATTTTAATAATAATAATATACTTTTCAGCAAAGATGCATTAAATTGATCAAACTGACTGTAGAGACTTTCACAATTTTAGAAAAAAAAATTCAAATAAATGCTGTTTTTTTTATTATTTTATTTTATATTATTTTTTTAAAAATGTTAACTTTCCATTCAACAAAGAATCTTTAAAATGATTTCGGAAGGATCATGTGACACTGACAACTGGAGTAATGGCTGCTGAATATTCAGCTTTGCCATCATAGGAATACATTTTAAAATATTAAAACAGAAAATAGTTATTGTACTTTGGCTATATTTCATATAATGTTACAATTGCACTTGCTTAACTTCAAGCACCAGCTTTCTGTCAATAGTGATCAGTCAGATAAATCAAAAGTCATCAGGGACTAGTAGCCCCTTAAATCACATTTGCCTTGTTTTCCTTATCACAAGTGTGTCAGCGGCACCCCAAAAAAGATTGCATTTTCTCATACACAGCTTTTGATTCAGTAAGACTACAGATCATATCACTTCTCTCCATCCAACACAACCAACCAAAATCTGATTTAAGCCATTCATTTAATTGAATCATATATTTAGGCTTGAGTGCTTCTGCATGTTCTGCATACGTACCTATATAATCAAATCAAGGAAATGTGCTAAAGCTGTTGGTTCAGAATCACATGTGCCTGAAAAGCAGACTGCAATATGGCCTAACCATCAGACCCACCAGTGATTATTCATTTAATTTCAACCCAACACTGAAAAATAAGCTATGATCTTCATGGACACTAGAGAGCACTATAGGACAAATAACGGCACTGATTTGATGTAAGTTGGGTTTGTAGTTATTTTTTTCTAGTTAATATGTTTGTGATATGTTTGTGTTGGTACATCATCTGTATGTATCTGTTTATGTCGGTCTATGTATATATTTGTGTAGGAAATCGTCTAAACTCCCGTACTCGCAGAATATTTACTGTTAAGTTAATATAACTTACTTTTTGGCTGTTGAGAAAGAGTTCTTCAGGTCTGCAGGTGTGTAGAATGAATACTTCCCATTTGTTTCCATACTATATCTGCCATCTTGGCATTGTCCTTCGATCTGGATGTTCTTTGACCTGAAACATATAACATAAATCCAAAGCACACTTATTCAGATACAGGGAGTATGTATGGGTTTGTGTGACATGAAAATTACTTTCTGGTGTGAAATTAATTTAGCCTTAATGGCCACAAGACTCTAGATGGACATTCGCATCAGATGAGGTCAATGCCTGCTCAAATGATGACAATTATCTGTGATGGTAAGTGCTGAATGTCCATAAGATGGCGCTGTAGGTTTAGTTTTGTCACATGCTCCTTGTCCTTTTGTTTGTGATTCATTTCATTGGGGGTATTTAACAGGATGGCAACCAAACACAGATATACACAATGAGACACAAGAAAATTATTAATAATGTACATTTATTTTTCTTTAATTTATTTATTTTCTTTGTGTCTCAGACTAAGTTTTTCACTAACCTTGTTTACCAAGAACACTAACTTTTTATTTTAAAAAATAAATAACATTTTAATTTTAAAAGTCAATATTTCAAAGACTTTTTTTTTTAATTTGACACATTTAATAAAAAAAATAAAATAAAAAAAGCAATCCTGGAACATAAAAGTGTCCAAATATTTGTGTCAGATGGCATTTTCAAAGTATGCCCTTGAATGAGGAAATACTTTTTGTCTGCTTTGACTTTTCACGTGCTAAAACATCTGCCATTTTTAAAGTGAGGTATTAAAATGTCTCATGATGATCCGTCCAAACGAATCGAAAGATCGTTTACGATTAACTGATTCACTGCAATGACTCGGACTTGCTACAAGAATAAGAAGGTGAGGAACTTTAAAGGGTTAGTTCACCCCAAAAAAATAAAATTCTGTCATTAATTACTCATCCTTATGTCGTTCCGAAACCGTAAGACCTTCATACATCTTCAGAACACAAACTAAGATATTTTTGATGAAATCTGATTGGAAACGAATCGAAAGATCGTTTACGATTAACTGATTCACTGCAATGACTCGGACTTGTTACAAGAATAAGAAGGTGAGGAACTTTAAAGGGTTAGTTCACCCAAAAAAAATAAAATTCTGTCATTAATTACTCATCCTTATGTCGTTCCGAAACCGTAAGACCTTCATACATCTTCAGAACACAAACTAAGATATTTTTGATGAAATCTGATTGC